TAGTTATAGGGAACATACTACTGTCAAATGATTATTCAGAAATCGTGAGATATGATCTGGTGTGATGTAGGTTTCAGAAAAACATTTTCTTTATCATGCTAACGTTTCGATCTTTATTGAGATCTCAATAAAGATTGAAACGTTAGCACGATAAAGAAAATATTTTTCTGAAACCTACATCACACCAGACCCCATCTCACAATTTCCGAATAATCATCTACTAATGGTCACTAATCACCACACATTACTACTATCAAAGTTCAAATCATCAAGAGAAAAGGGAGAGTCAAGAGAAGTAGATGTGATAAAAGGTACATAGTACATAGTACGTAAAAGGAATCACTGGAGGGGAGAAATAATTTTTCAAAATGATATGGACTATCGACGATGGACTTTTTTAAAGGGGAAAAGGAAATTAGTAATTAAATTTTACTGTTTTGAATGATTAATGATGAAATATAGCCGTTTTTATTGCATCATTCGTGACCAATCTAAGCTCATGAGTTCAGGTGGTGTTATTTTCAATAATCATAGTAATAATTCAATTATACTTTCAGGATAACGAAATAAATGTTGTAAATATATAATAATGGTGGAATTCAATAGAAAAAGACTATTTTAAGCTTATAAAATATAAAAAAATACCTTTTTTTTGAGCCGACGTGTAAAATTTGTGACGTCGATTCTCGTTGCCGGCGAGAGAGAGTGAATGGCGGGAACGTCGACCTACCAAACTGACAAATAATCTGACAATCATCCACAATAAAATTTAAAAAACGTTGGAGAATTTGTTAAAAAAATAATATAAAACGTATATTTAAAAACAAATTTTATTAATTCGATCTAATTATTTTCAAAATGTAGTTAAAACTTAGGACTATCAGGAAAACATCAAACAGGCAGTGATAGGATCGGACATCAATTTTCCCGTTAAAATTTAATAAATAATTTTAGTTTAATTAATGCCAAGTATCGATAATAAATATTAATTCATTTTTTGTGCTTTATTTTCAAAAAGGATTGGAGCAATTTTATATTTTTTATTTTCATGGTAGATCCTTGTATCCCTGGCCATTTCCCGCCTTTCTTATGGACGGTTACACGAGTCGACATGGCTTCACTTCTTCGTAAGTTTTATTTCAAAATATTATAAGTTTTACCTTAATAAAATCTTCACCCTTGGTTAAATCTTGGAGAAATAGTTAATTGAATAATTTAGTAATTGCCTATTTCAAAAATTGATTTATTAGATTCATTATTGCAACACAGCAAATTAGTACAGGCTCTTAAGATAGACTGGTGAATATGAGAAAATTTCCATGTGGAATATCGACAAATGCACTATTTTTTCAAAGAGAAAAGGGAATTGGTAATTAAAGTTAATTGCTTTTATTATTGATGATAAAATGGAGGGAGATAGCCATTTTAATTGCATCGTCCACGAGCAACCTTTGCCCAAAGATTGGATGGTGTAAAATCGTATACAAATTATAATAAATAAATAATTTATTAAGCATTTTAAAACTAAATAATCCTAAGGCTGGTGCTACACAAGACGGAATGCGATGGAAGTTTCCATGACCGATATTTCCGCTGCACAAGCTTACATTCAAAACACAGACTGAACAGAAATTCTTTAACAGAAATTTCAGTCGTAATGTCTCCGTTAAGCTCCGTTGATGCACCACTCGTCCACCAACGGAATGTTCCGCTGGGCTTTCCGACGGTCAGACCAAAATAGTGCGCGACAAGCGAACAACAGAACAGGCAGGCAGTTGGACATGCAAACTGCAAGTGAAGCTTATCTAAGATGGATGTGGGCCAATTTATTGTGATAGTTCAGCCATGTCTGTGGAATTTTGAGTATGCTCATTAAATGAAGCTATAGTTATCCCATAGTATTGGAAGAAGAAGAAAGGATAGCGTCAAAGTTCCCCGTAAAGGCAGTAAAATTGACCAAGTGCTACCCTTTTCATAGTCAATGGATGAATCCAATGTTCTCTCTTTCTCTTCTGCTTCTCCATTGCCTTGTAAATGCACAAAATGAAAAGTGGTTTCCTAAAGTGGTACCCATTCTACTGAGTCACGTTATGAACTGAATGTCCAAACAGTCATTGTATTGGGTTGTCCGGAAAATAATGCAGGATTTTAAGTTTTCATTAAAAAAAATCTATATAAAATATTCTGTTTACGTTTACAGGATTACTCATTTGTATGAATGTCAACACTTATTAATCCTCTTCCAAATGATATTGTTTGTTTACCTCTGTAGCATTCCGCTACTTGGAAATAATTCAGTCATCCTTATAATGTCAAAGCGAGAATTTCGTACGATTTTCTTTTACGAGTTTAAACTCGGCCGAAGCGGAGCCCAAACGGCTAGAAACATTAACCAAGTCTGGGGCGAGGGTTGTGTTAATGAGTGCACTGTGCAAAGGTGGTTTAAAAAATTTCGGGAGGGAGATTTCAGCCTTGAAGATGAAGAAGGTCGTGGAAGGCCTTCCTCTCTTAATGATGATGTTCTGCGATCAGTGGTGGGTGCAGAGCAACTCAAAGTCAGTAAAACGACCGTCGCTGACCACCTCAAGGCGATTGGAAAAGTGAAAAAACTCGAAAATTGGGTTCCACACTCATTAAACGATCGCCAAAAAAATCAGCGCTTTGATGTTTGTGCATCACTTCTTTGTCGAAACAAAAATGACCCATTTCTGGCCAGAATTGTTACATGTGACGAAAAGTGGATTCTCTACGATAACACTAGACGTTCTGGACAGTGGCTCGACAAAGGAGAAGCTCCAATACATTTTCCAAAGCCCCCAACTCATCAAAAAAAGGTAATGGTTACGGTATGGTGGGCTTCATTTGGTTTAATACACTACAGCTTCTTAAATCCTGGCGAAACCATCAATGCTGAATCATACTGTAACCAAATTAATACCATGCATCAGAAATTGGCAGTAATGAAGCCCTCTTTGGTCAATCGGAAAGGGCCCATTTTGTTGCATGACAACGCTCGACCACATGTGTCACGTGTAACGTCACAAAAATTATTGGAGCTTGGCTATGAAACTTTGCCTCACCCACCCTACTCTCCGGACCTCTCGCCTACTGACTACCATTTTTTTAGACACCTGGACCACTACTTAGAACACATAATATTCAAAAATCAAACGGAACTGGAAAATGCATTTATTGACTTTATCAATTCTAAAAATTCTGAATTCTACTCAGACGGAATTAATAAGTTACCAACACGTTGGGAGAAATGTATTGAGAGTATGGGAAATTATTTTGATTAAAGAACATTGCTTTAAAGTAACTAGTTTCTTTTTTTTTGTTTAATACCAAAATCCTGCATTATTTTCCGGACAACCCAATAGTTATTCCATTCATTTCTGCTGTATGTGTGGCTTGTTCGGGTTGGGCAGATTTTTCGTCATGAAATTTCTTTCATGGAAACTTCCGTCGCATTCTCTCTAGTGTGGCGCTGGCCTAATAATGTAGGCATACCTTAATTATTATTTTTTTAAAAAATTGTATGCTGAATAGGAAGCAAGTCTGCTTCAAAATATATACAATTTTTTTTAAAAAACCTGGTTGTATCTGTTCTATTTAAAAAAGAAACTGACAAAATAATATTTTTTTAAGCTGTGACCTTCTTGGTCATTAAGCCTTAAGTCTGTAAAAGTAGGCAGTATAGCTTGGCTCCATCAAAGTGAAGCCCCCGTAGACACTGGCACAGTGGCTGCTGGGAAAGAACAGAACCCCACAGATCTCTTATGACTGATACTTTTAAACTTAACATTGTGCGTAGTGCTTTTACGAGGAGAGGTCCGTGTCCATTCACCATCGACACCTCCAATCTCATTGGATATTCCTTCAGAGTCCAGTATTCAGAGTCCAGCAAGATACCCTTCAATCCAGCCCAAAAGTGACTGGCCCAAAGCCCCAGACAGGCATCGCCACAACCAAGCCCACACCACCAACGAGATGCCAACAAGGAATCAAGAAATGAGGGGAAATGAAAATACATTTTATCTATTAGTTGAATGTCTTTTAAGAAGCTAAAAATTTTGTGTGTTGGTGTTGAATTGTTTAATAAGGATTTGGTCTTTGAGGATTTGGTGGAGGGCTTTAGCAGAGGTGTATAAAGACAATTGTGATGTGGGATATAGTCATAGGAGATATATAGATTGGACAAATAGGTTCAAGGTGGAAACTATGGGTGTGCCAGGCGTTACTAATTAGAAGCTGGGTTAGAAGGGCTTCTTTTTTTTGGGAAGGTCTGGAAGAGTATTCCCATTTTTCACATCTTTTTTTATTGAGACTGTCACTCATGCCTCCTATAATCCTATTTGACACGATGGACTGTGATCCATATGATAAAATTCCACGAGTCTTCATCAATTTTAATTAGGTATGTAAGGTGTTGTGATTATTTATGTGTCAGAATCAATTTTGACCATTAGTACAAACATTTCCACTTTTTTCTATTGAAGATTCTGGTAGGGCTGTAACATTGAATACATTCCACAAAAATTTAATAAAAAATGGCCAAAAATATTAATAATAATGTGATGTAGCAAAACTAGGGAAATCTCCCAGTGAAGACTTATTTTTCAGCAAATTTCAACATTTATTACATATCGTGAGATTTTCTGAGGTCTGCGGTTAATAAACCTGATCCTTATCGATCTTATCATTCTGCCTACACTTGTTGGGTTTGTCGAGTTTCGGCATTTTCCTATCTTCTGTACGTCTGTCTTTATTTTTATTCTGTTAAACATAATAACAGGAGTAATTTTTTAGTTATTAATGGACAAAAATATACGGCTGAGAATAAGCCATCTCATAATAACCCAAGATGAATTAATAACTAAACTATCAAATGTAGAACATTTATTTCATTTATTTTGTTACAAACTTTTTTTTTATACATTTTATAAAAATATAATAGAAATCACAAAAAATATCAAAAATAATGGATTAAATCTCTTACTTTTGACTTTTCAATATCTGTAAATTTGTACATGTATTCCATTTTACCAGCATTTCTTTCATTACAAAATGTTTGTTTAAGCTACATAAAATAAAGATATAATAGAAATTACATAAAATTTTGATAACAGTAGAAAATATGGGTGAATTAATTCCTGTAATTTCATTATTACCGATCATCTTGGCCTGCCTACCCTTCCTAGGGTGTCTTTTCAGAGATATTTTCATCATTTTTCCATCTTCAATGTTGGGTCTAACTATCAATGATTGCAAATGTGCATAAATTTTGCTAGGTCACAAAGTTGCAAAATAATTATCTGGCTGATTGAAAAGTAAGGTGAAATTTGTGTGTTAATAATCTTGTACTAAGTGGAATCTGAAAACTTTATTTAACTCAGTTGAATATATTTTAAACAATTACATAATACATACAGTATCTTTTTTGTTTTATTAGTGCTGGATGGATAGAAATGTTTTTTCATTTGGAGCTAGAAGTACCCAATTGTAAAGTATTAAGTATGAGAGAGTGGTGACAGTTAGTGATTATTTGGAGATCATGAGACCACAACACCATACCGCATCTCACGATCTCCAAATAATAATTAAGTATTAAATTTATTGGACTAGTGTAGATCAGATATTTTTAAAACAGACTTAATGATTCATCGCTCGAACTGCAGTTTTCGTCGCACCCTTCCAACTGGAAATCCATTACATCTCTCTTCATCTTGTTGTTGTTCTTTCTCAATGTCTTGATGATTTCTTGCTGTTCCGCTATCTTACACCTGAGCCCTTCAAGTCTTGTGACGAGCCTTTGAAGGAACACCTCCGTCAACATGTGCGTCGTTTCTTCCAAGTTTTCCTTCAGCTCGCGCTTTTTCGCTTTCAGATATTCCCTCCCGGACATTATTGATTGTCTCGCCTTCTGCGGCCTCTTCTCACTCACCTTCCAGTTCACGACCGTCGAGGCTTGCGAATTATCAGAGCTTTCTTCAGAAGCACTTGAAGAACGAGCTGAATAATATCAGAGATAAAACAAGCAAAGGGTTTATTATTTTTTTAATATGCTAAACACATCTTGAATATTCAAATTACCAGTTCTTCTTTTTCTAACTGCACCTTGGGATTTCATCACTTCTTTTCCTGTCTTTTTTCTCTCACAAGCTGTCATGACTTGACCGCTTGTTGGTGTTTCATCATCAGAAATGACAATAACATCATCTTGATTCATCTATTTATTAGATATATTTTTGCAAAATACAATTTTGTTTGTTTTTTAAACACAAATTGTAATTGATACTCCTAAAATGGAAGCCAGAGGAAAATAACTTCCACTTACAATATTTTATTTAAAGATTTAAATGTCCAATTACATAACAAACAAGGATATAGTTAAATTTCCTCCTGTGGTTTATAGTGTTATGAATCTGTAATTTGATCCTTACCAATCATCTTGGTCTGCCTATATGTCTGGTTGGTTTGGCCAAGATACATACAGGCCAAGATTATTGGTAAGTAATTTGTTGGATTCGTTAGGAGCAGTCAAGAACAAAGTGGTTTAGAAAAACACCTTTTTAATTTTTTTGCTGATGTTTCAACCTTTATTCGGGTCAACTCATCAACTCTCTATGAAGCCAATAAATTATTAAACAACCAGTCATTAAATAACAATCAAAAAAACATTATTGGTTTGAGGGGGAAAATAAAAACATAGCAGTTTTTTCAACAAACAGCCAGTTTTACAAAATATTTTTTTCATACAACAGGATTATAATTTGTTTATAAATATATGTTATTACTTACATTGGTAAATTATTAGCTATCGTATAACAAAACCAGTCCAACTTAAATTTCTGAAGTGGTTTAGGGCAGAGGATAAATTCATTAGGCCTGATTACCACACAGCTGCCTTAAGTTTTAAATATTTAACCCTTTTCATATTTTCATTCTTGGTTTTTGGTAATTTGAATTTATGTAATAGTACAAATGTATTTTCTTGTACTATTTACCCATGATATTACCATTCTGAGCATTAATTTACTCTAAATCGTACAAACTGAAGCCCATGCAATCAAACTCTGCTTACAAAATACTAGATAAGGGGCTGGAATGAAGCACAAATACAACTCAGATGGTCAAGCAGAACCATATCAGCTTCTTGGTCCTCTGTTGAAAGTAGAACTGACAGAATGTTTGGAGGGCCACACTGGATTAAAATGATAACACGTTTGTCTATTGCTCAGCAGGCAGGAATTTAGACAAGCCCGATGATTTTTCATTGGAAAAAAAAAAAAGATAAACGTGCCAGGAATACGCAGAAGCAGCATACCCCTATGTGCCAGATTCTGAATATAGTAAAACTTTGGAAAGGCAAAAAATACTGAAGAAATTATTGAGTAATTTGAATAAAAAATTGAAATGTTTAAAGTACCACTTTCCAAGATTTGGTTTGTACAATCCAAAACGGATCTATTCTAAGGCCACAGTTGATAATATGTTTGCAAGTTGTCAGAACATCCACACTATTGACAATCCAAAAACCTGCTGATATTTGTCAAGAAAGAAACAGCAGAATGTATCAAAGAATCAGAATTCTTAACAAGGCACTGCGGGTTGAATGGTCACATTAGAAAGATTGACATCACAGATGACATGACAGATTGTGCAGAAGCAGAAGAGACCCCCGACGCACCTATTAACAGACTGGTGCTACACTTATTCACATGAGAAACTCAAAAACAACCATTAAAACCAAGCCTAATAATCAAATGCCTCGATAAACTGGGACTCATCAATGAGAACAGAATAGGGGATACAATAGCAGGGTCCTACCTTAAAATCACAATCCGAGGGGGAAACTGAGATACTGTTTAGGAACCAAGAGACTTTTTTGAGAGTGCTTATCGTAGAACCCAGGAACAATGATGGAATTTAACAAGTAGGTCAAGTAAACTAGCATAACTAGGTTTTTGAGCATGGGAATGACCACTCCAATTGCTAGCGATTTTCCTGATCCATCTCATTTTATGTAGTAAAATTACAATCCAAGGGGGTAAGTGAGGTACTGCTTAGAAACCAAGAGACATTTTTTGAGATGTGCTTATTTTGGGACCAAGAAACATGATGCAGTTTATCAAGTAGGTCAAGCAGACTACGCGACTAGATTTTTGAGCATGGGGATGGCGACTCCATCAATTCCTGGCAACTTTCTGTTTTTCTTGGTCCATCTCTTTTGATGTAGAAAAATCACAATCTGAGGGTTAAGTGAGGTACTGCTTAGGAACTGAGAGACAATTTTTAAGATAAGTCTATGGTGAAACACAGAACCAAAGGTTTAGTACATTCATCATATACAGATGAATGGCATACATCATCAGACCAGGGCAAATGTGTATTTTATATGTTGTATTTATATTCTAAGATACTTTGTTAATTAGTTTAAGTAGACAGTTCTAATGAAAATAAAGGTGTACGGCTAATTTAGACATTTTTGAATTTTGGAGGCACGTGGGTCGATGAAGCATCGATGATTTACGTTGATTATCGAATTTATCGTTTTTTTCTTTGGCCTCTTTCAAACCTCGTGGCTCGATAAGGAAACCCAAGGGAAAATTAAACCTTCAAGTTATGAGAGTGCCTTTCGTTTAGAGTTTAGACTTCAGGTTCATAGTCAGATAGTCTGGTCAAGTTGTGCAAGAGTAAATAAGAGGGTGAGTTCATTTAAGTATTTTATTATGTTTCTTTTTGCTTTAAGGCATGGAAAAGTGTTCTTGAGTAGGAGATTCTTTTTTAGTTTGAATGCTGATCCTAAGACGGTTCTTAACAATCGGCCACAACAGAATCTGGGTGAAGATGTCAGATTCCTTGTCGCCTCCAGAGAATGTGAGAGGTATGAAGGTTCTCGACAGAAATAAGTTTATTAAAGTAGTCAAAGTACCATGTATTTATACGCCTATTGAACGGGTAAAGTCCTGCTTGGGCGTTTTGAAGAGTTATTTGCTCAAGTTGAACTGCTTCAAGCCGGTGCAGAGTGCAGAAGCTGGCAGGGTGCTCTATCTTGATCCGAGGAAGGTAGAAGGTTATGCGAGCTTTGACGAAGGTGTACGGCATAAACTCGAAGAGCTGGGCTTTACGCCTGAAGACATAACCTTTAAAGACATACAACTGAATTACGATAATTGGAAACTGAACGAGATTATAAGAGCAGTCACACCAGAGTGTGAAGAAGGCGTGTCTTCATATTCGCAAATCGGTCATATCGTACACCTCAACCTCAGGCCTCACATGAACGATTACAAAGGCCTGATCGGACATGTCATCCTTGACAAAGTAGCCAACAGTAGGACAGTGATATCCAAGGTCGACACGATAACCGATGAATTCAGAAAGTTCGAGTTTGAAGTTTTAGCCGGGGAAAGTGATTTTATTGCGAAAGTACAAGAGAACAAATGCAGGTTTGAGTTGGACTTCTCGCAGGTTTATTGGAATCCAAGACTGTCGACTGAGCATTCCCTTGTTGTTGATTATTTGTCTAAAGGGGACGTCCTTTTTGACGTTTTTGCCGGCATCGGCCCTTTTGCCGTCCCTTCGGCTAAAAAAGGTGTCACAGTCTTTGCCAACGATTTAAACTCGCATTCTATTCGCTGGCTTCAGAGGAATGTCGAGCTTAACAAGGCGAAATCCATCACCGTTGTGAATAAAGATGGCAATCTTTTCATAAAACAGGATTTCAAAGATAAATTTTTAAATCTAGAAAAAGGCGATTATAAAATCTTAATCGTGATGAATCTCCCAGCTCTTGCGACGCAATTCTTACACAATTTTATCGGACTTTTTGAGAATAAAGATAAAGAGAGGATAATGGAAATACCTACTCCGGTCGTATTTGTATACTGCTTTGTAAAGAATGCGGAAGATGAGGTGAAGGAAGCGAGGCAGATGGTCCTCAATGAAATCGGCATGGAGGAGCTCATCGGAGAACCGCATTTTGTCCGTAACGTCGCTCCAAATAAATATATGTTTCGTGTCAGTGTCAGACTTACACCTGAACTACTCGTGAACAAGAAACGGACATTAAATGAAGAATCGGAACCGAATAAAAAGCCAATGTTGTAATTTTAACAATGTTCAGTTTTTAAATGTTTTAATTAAAACTACCATTCTACTTTAAATTACCTTGATTATTTTTTTGCACCCTACACTTTTTTGTTTTTATTTATAAAATACGGGTAAAAAATTGAATATGGAATTCAATGCATAGAAAAAATTGTTGCACTAATCATCTTTGCCTAGTTTCAAGAGTTATTTTTGTAAAGAAAAATATTTTTTGGTTGAATAACCATTAATCTTTTGAACAGACAAAATTTTTCAAGGATAATTTTAGTCTTAGGGCCCTTTGTGTTCCTTTTTATAATTTTCTCTTTTAAAAATTTCAACTTGTTAAGGATTTTTTGTTCTGCGTAGGTAGAGAGGAGTCAAAATGAAGAAAACTAATGTTAACAACAAGAAGAACCCGTTCAAAGTTGATAGGGTGCGGAGTATGAAGCTTAAGCACAAAGCAAAATCGTACCAGGGAAATCTGAAGCAAGTAAATTCATTTTCTATATTCCTTTTTATTTTTTTACATTTTCGATTCCTCTCTACCTAACAAATTTTCCCTAGCTAAAATTAAACTTGGAAACGCAAGTGAACAGGGCCAACTCGGAGTTGGACACGCTTGCGACCGTAATCAGATCTGCGCCGTCAGTGAAAGTTGCTGAGCAGATCTCAAAGCCGCTCTCTGAACAAGAGAAAAAGGAAAAAGTAGAAAAGTTGGTCGAGAACTACAAAAAGCAGGAAGAAAATGAACAGAACACCCTGGCCAAACTTGAAAACTGGTCGTGCAGCCAGTAAGAAAAAACCGCGATTGTACAATTATGTAAATTTTTAAAATTGTTAAATAAATGATTTTTTTATAGTATTGTCTTTGTTTTTTCATCCCTTTTAGGTGGCTGTAATAATATTCACATTAATCATTATTAACAATTGTTTAAATTATAACTATAAATAATTAATGGCATTTTGTAACAGTCATAGTTTTATTTAAGGTAAAACAGGAACATTTATTGTATTTTTTTATTTGAAAATACAGTTGTAATGAGTCCACCAAAAACAGCAGGGGTCATCATTATCGGCGATGAAGTGCTCAAAGGACAAGTCGAAGATAAAAACTTGCATTTTTTGGCAAAGAAACTTACCAAATTGGGTACGGCTGTTGAATTTTTTTACTTATCCACATTTATACTATTTTATTTATTTATTTAGGAATTCGCCTTTGCAAGGTTTCGGTGATTGGAGACTCAGTAGATGAGATAGCAAAGGAAATATCAGAATTTTCATCAAAGTACGACCAAGTGATAACGACTGGAGGTATATAAAATCTAAATTGATCAAAAATCATATAAAAAAGTTTAATTTTGTTTTAAAGGTATTGGTCCAACTCATGACGATGTAACATATGAGGGCCTAGCTGCAGCGTTCAACGATGTACTCATCGTGAACAAAGAAATGGCAGATTTCTGGACGTGGTTCAATAATGACATCGATGGCCAAGCGAGAAAGTCCACGATTAAAATGGCCACTGTACCGTCTAACGCCACGATACAGTACACCAATCTTAAAGAACACATATCACCGAGGAAATTCCCTGTTGTGACAATGCACAACGTCTGCATCTTTCCGGGGATACCTTCTTATGTGAAAGCCATATTCGAAGGTCTCGAGGGAAACTATTTTATGAGTACAGAAAAAAAGTGAGTAAAGGAAGTTGAAAATTAAAATTCCACCCCTACATTGAATGGGTTAAGTAATTTATGCAGTAGATAAAAAAAAAAAATGAAAAAGAAAAGCAACAATAATGATAAATAAACAAACAGATAAGACACACGCTTATTTAAGTTTGGTAATTTTGCATGAAACTAATGGCATTCCAACTTTTGCCCACTTAAAAGAGAAAGTCTCCATTAGTGATAATATTAGGACAATGAAATAAGCCTTTCATTCTACAAATATTTTGTAAGTATTAAATTTAATTTTTTTGGAATAAAGGCTTATTTCATTGTCCTAAAAATATTGTTGATACTAAAGGTTTATTTCATTAACCTAAAAATATCACTGGGTCTAAAAGCTTATTTAATTGATTAAAAAATATAGCTGAGACTAAAGGCTTATTTTATTGCCTTAAAATATTGCTGGAACAATAAATATAAAGATGTATTTCTTTGTCCTAAAAATATAGCTGGGACTATAAAGGCTTATTTCAGTAACTTAAAAAATATTGCTGGGGCTAAAAGCTTATTTCATTGTCTTAAAACTATCGACGATATTGTAAAGGCTTATTTTATTGCTCTAAAAATATTTCTGGAACTATAAAGGCTTATTTTATTGCTATAAAAATATTGCTAGAACTATAAAGGCTTATTTTATTGTTCTAAAAATATTGCTGGAACTATAAAAGCTTATTTCATTGTCCAAAAGATGGGATTGTTCTAATGATTGTTGAGACCAAAGATTTATTTTAATATCCTTATAATTATGGAGTTCAGTAGTAAAAAAAATACCTTAATGATGACAATTTGTGGTAAGTGTAGAAATGTGTGGTGATTAGTGACCGTTAATCGATATTTATTTAGAAATCGTGAGATGCGGTCTGGTGTGATGTAGGTTTCAGAAAAACATTTTCTTTATCGTGCCAANTTAATCACATTCAATACAGATAACATACCTATACCATCACATTACATTCCACACATCAAATATTTTTCACATAGTCTAATTTCCCGACAATTCAGCTTTCCTTTTCCTATTTATCCCTTTCTATATAATCCTGAAAGGATAATCTGGCCGAACTATTACCAACACATTTTTTCCCTTCGTCAGCTCCTTTCACCTCAAAGAAGCCGACGCCTTATACAAAAATGTCTTTTCTATACTATCCTTCCCCACTCCTTCAAAATCCAACGTATATAAACACAAAATAGCAAAATCTCACTGGCACCTTGACACTACACACAAGAATGGCACAATTACACAGAATACAAACACTTTGAGTGAGTAGAAATACTTTGATTGAATATATAAAATATATTTTGCATTGTATAAATTCACTTTTCCACATCCAAAATGTAATTGTAATATGTAAACAATGTTTGTAAATCCCTGAAGATGATCTCAATAAAGATCGAAATGTTGGCACGATAAAGAAAATGTTTTTCTGAAACCTACATCACACCAGACCACATCTCACGATTTCTTAATAAATTTGTGGTAAGGTTTTTTAATACATATATTTATATATATATTTTTAGATTCCACATAAAACGGCTTTACTTGAATGTATGGGAGTCTGTCGTTACAGACTCTTTGAACGAGACTGTATCTAAATTCCCGACCATCTCTTTTGGATCGTACCCGAAGGTCAACTGTCCATACTACAAAGTGGTCATCACAATGGAATCAGAAAACGGATCTGTTCTTGACGGCGCTTTGGAATTCCTCAGGTAATTAACCTTTTTTTTTCATAATATCATACAAACTGTAATATTTTTCAAGTTATAAAAGTACTGCATTAAACCTTTTTAAGCATCAGATTTTGATTTTAAAAAAATTCTATCAGGCTGTGGGTTATAAAGTTGAAACAATAAGCCTGTACTAGAAAAAGCTCAAAGAAGTGAAGTCTGAAGTTATTCTCAAAAAAATTTTTGGTTTTTGGAACAAATTTTGGATTAAATCTGTACATAGATCTAGAAAGAATTATTCGGGAGTGAGCTGTTTCGTTTTTTAAACTTGAATTTTATGGAGCTTTGACAAAGTTTAGAGACAAAGCTCTGCAGTGCGAAAAAACACAAAGTGCAATTCTTGGATTGTGGTTCGGTTGTTTCTAATCATTTTTGTCTGTTTATTCTTGTGTTTTGGTCTGACAAACACGTTTTGGTGTTGTATTATTTTTGTTTGTTGGATTAAATTTGGGTTTTTTTTGTTGTTCTGGAAGATTTTTGTGATCATTAGTCCTTTTTTTGGTGGTTCATGATGGTTTTTTGTGCTGTGAGTAATGTCATTTGATTTTTGGTCTTTCTGATGTATTTGTCTCCACATTCGGACATTATGGCATATCTGCCATTTTTGTCAAATAAGTTGGTTTTGTCAATTAACAGCAAGTCCTTACAACCTTATAAAAGAAGTTTGTCTTGATTCATACTAAAGATGGCAAAATGTTGGAATGTATCCTTGGTGAGGATAATCAAACTGAAATGGTAGATAACAATGATATTACAGGTTCATCGATCCAGCCTTGCAGAAGAAAATCTCACGATAATTTTATGGAGCAGGTCAAGGACAAGACCAAGTGATGTCCTTCTGGAGAAAAAAAGCTCATAGTATTTCCACATTTGCTCCTTTCAAAAAACAATTCTCCTGTGTCTGGTGCAGTCATGTCCAATAATTTTTGTCCCCTATCCTGGCTGCTTTGGTCTGACAGACTCATTTTAGCTTATGTCATCTTCATTGGTTGTTCCGTGTGATTTCTGTTTAGCCAGGTCTCTTTTAAAAGTTAGTGAAGGGGAAAATTATACTTTTTTAGTATATAGTTTTCATAATTTCTTTAGAGAATATGTTTATTATATTTTTTGTTTAATGGATTTAGGTCTCGAATACTTGATGAGTATATCACGGATGAAGGGGGAATGCTTGGGGACGCTTGGATCAACTTGGAGCAGGCGTTAAACGACGGGAAATTCAATTCATTCCTTGAACCATTAGACAGAGCGATAAAAGTAAGAAATTTGTTTAAACAATCGATCATTTGCCAACTTATTATTTTTTACAGGTTATAGAGAGTATTTTTGAAGAGAATTCTCCCCATGAAATATTCATCGCTTTCAACGGCGGTAAAGACTGTACGGTGCTTCTCCATCTCGTCCATACAGTCCTGAACAGGAAGTATGGCCTTGAGGAGTATCCGAAAATCAACGTCCTATATGTTAAAAATGAAAACACTTTTAAAGAAGTCGAAGACTTTATCTGTAAAACGACTCAGAGGTAAATAAATAAATAATTAAAAAAAAAAGTGTATTATAATTATTATAAAATGTAAGGTATCGGCTGGATTTGGTTACAAAACAAGGGCCAATTAGGAATGCTTTGAATGAATTGAAAATGACAGAGGAAGGTAAAAGATGGAAAATTGCATTGATGGGGACAAGGAGAAACGACCCTTGCGGGAAAAACCTTGACTATATTCAGGTACGACATTGTATAAGATTTTTAAAAAAAATTATTTATTATTTATTTTTTTAAAGAAAACAGATCAAGGTTGGTCAGAATTAACAAGGGTTTCGCCCATACTTGACTGGAGCTACAGCAACATCTGGCAGTTCCTGAGGACGCTCAGCATCCCCTACTGCAAACTATATGACCAAGGGTAATAATAAAATCTCAATTCATTAAAAAAAACTTATCATATTTCTCCCTCGCAGTTATACATCTTTAGACGGCAAGAACAACTCGTTAAAGAACCCGAAGTTGAGGTATGTGGACGAGACGGGGAAAGAGTGCTTTCACCCAGCTTGGAAGCTCGACGACGAAAGCGCAGAACGAAGTGGCCGAGAGTAAATTTTGTTGAATAAGTCGTCAAAGTCTTTGAACAACCGTTTCTACTTAAATTTATTTGTTATAATTCTAATTCTATATTTGTTATAGTTCTAATTATTTATTTGTTCATAATCAAAGAAATATTTATTATTAACGCTTTATTTAAAACATGTAGGTTTAATTTTAGTCTATTGACAGCGATCAAAAAAATAAAAGAATAAAAATAATAATAATAAAAAAGTGCAGAGAATTAAGCTGATTTTCAAACATCCAGAGGAACGCAGAGAGCTATTTTTGAAACTTTGCAAAATAATTTGCAGGTAACAATTTTTAGTTTGTAATTAAATGCAAAATTACCAAATCATTCTGGAATATTCACTGTTTTTAAATTTCCTAATTACCTTTGTTTCTATTATTTTACACACATACAAAATGCATATTAATAATTACAATTTAAATAGTCGGAGTCAGCGGGTCAGATCATTCGTGAAGCTTTTCCGGGTCAAGAACATAATTATCAATTAGCAATGCCCCCCCTAAGGGACAAAAGGAAAGGATAGTGTTCACCTTTTTGAGGATAGGCCATACCCAATTGACAAACGGACACCTACTTTTGGGGAAAACTCGTGCCAATACTATTTGCAGAGAAAAATCGCTGTGTGTCACCCTTGCTTGCGGGGTGGAAGGCCTTGGCTCCTTATAGGGTGCAAGTGGAAATTGGCCTGTTCCCCATATTTAAAAAAAAAACATTCCAACTTCATGTAAACCATCGTTTGTGACCCTCTTCTAGATGTAGATGTTAAAAACAAGTTTTATTTTATTTTTTTGTGATTGTACAGTTTGTATGAATATTCAGCCTTCAATGTTCCAACTTTGTATCAACCACCATTGTGACCTTCCTCTATCTTGGCAACCATTAGGATGATACTGGATCCCACATTACAGAAACTGGGTCTATTTGGATGTAAAATTATCCCTGTTGTTAGTTCACATCATATCATTTGATGTATATGTTAACAAAACAGGTAATAAAACACATCCTTGTGAAATACCTCAGTTAAATTCCATCAGCCCAGTTATTCCAAACATACATTAAAAAGATATTGGATTATTATTTGAGGAAACGGCAACTCAATCCGGATTTTTTTTTAAATTTGCTTTTTCATCTTTCTGAAATTAATCCGTCACCTTGGTAAGTAAGGCTCACAGCTATCAGATATTGTGGTCCAACTTATCTCTTTTGTGTTGAGGGTACTCAGTTAAGTTTTTTACATTTCTTATACTCAGACGAGCAGTTATAATGGATTAAATTTCAAAATAAAATAAAACTAGCCTTAACATTTTTTTTTAAATTTAAAGTTTATAAATCTCCACAGGCTTAGTGCCTAAAAGACTAGTGTGATGATTTTCAGGAAAGGCTTATCTTAGTGACCGAGATATATGAAGCCATGGTGGGCCCAGAGTCATATGGTATTGTGTAGTGTGAAAATATGTAAATTTGCCCCTTAAGTTTAATTCTTTATCAAATTATTCGCTGGCTAATCCTGGGGCAGGATGTTTCTTTTGGGGTCGCCCTCCTTGGGGGTAAAAAAAGAAATTTAATTTATAAAAATATTTTTACTCAGTAACACAGCATAACAGACAACAAATTTCAACAGTTCAAACAATACGAACACTAAAGTAGAAAATAAAAGTAAGAAAGAAAGAAAAAGGCATAGGCTTTTTACAACAGTTATCGATATCTGTCCTAGACAACTACTATTCACACTGTACAACATTGAACTGAGAACCCAAATGCAACAATCCTGGTGGGAAAAAAAGACGCATTGGAACTACAAAATTTAATGTTTATCACAGATATGCCCTCGTTTGAAGAAAAAAAGTGATTGTTACAAAAAAAGTCCTGTTCGTTAAAATCAAAACTCATCGACTACGTGAAAACATGTCTCCAAAATGGCCGAAGTTTTTAAGTTAATTTTTTTTAATGTTAGATGTTTAAATTAACATATTAAATGTTTAAGCACAACACAAGTGAATAAGTTTTGTGTGGAAAATCTAAGGTTTAATTCTTTGTTTTTGTCCTTTTTTTAAATTTTTATAGATGGCTGGATTCTCTTATTTTCATACTATCTTTTGTATTAAGATGGTTAAAATGTTTAAATGTACGACGTTTCTGGCACGCTGAGCCATTTTCAAATATGTGATTGGAAATATTTCCCAGCAATAAAACGTATTTGAAAATGACACAGAAATGTTCGGCAAACATATTTAAAAATTTTCTTTGACTATTTCAAAAAAGGCCGAAAAATAAGAAAAAATTATACCACCCGTAATTGTTTAATTATTAATGAAAATATGAGGCTTGTACATGGAAGGTATAACATTGAGGGTTCTCGATGAGTCTGGTTCTTTACGAAAAACAAAAATTTGAGTTATTTTCACACACTGCTTAATTACATTTTTAAAAAAGTAAAAAAGGTTATCTACAGAAAGTATGATTGAGAGAGCTTTTTTTAAATTGTGATAAGGATTCATACTTTTGGTTTATTTTTGGACTCGGCGATATTAAAATCCGATCAAAATGCCGAACAAGTAGTTTTATTATCCTTTTAAATATTGTTGGATGTGTTTTTTTCCTCTTGTTTCTTTCCGAATGTATTGATGGTCGAAGGATTTTTGGTCAGCGATGACCGTTTTTGTTTTAATGAAGGAGGGGCCGGGATGGATCTTTCACTGTATTTGAACTCGCCGACACCCGGCGATACAAAAAGGGCCACCTTCGGATAGAGTAGATAGTATGTCAAGTACCAAACCGAAACAGCTGTCAGCCCGGCAAGGAGCTTCTCAAGCATGCTGTGGTAAAAGAGGACGGTCAGGAAAAGCATGACGTCCCAGATGACACACAGCACTGTTATACTTATGAACAATGATCTTACATAAGGAGTGAGCTTTTCATAAGAGTTTGCCAGATGCTGGAAATCTGTTGGATTGAGGACGCGCAGCGGGTTGGAATAGTTCGATTCCTGCTGTTCTCTAATGTGGCTCTCATCGCGCAGCAAGTCTGCGATCTTCTCCCATCCTATTACGACCCTGCACTCCTCGATAAGAACGAGCGTAGAATACATAAGGATGAAACAATGGCCCGATATGTCCACACTTTGCCAGTAGAAACCTTTCCTCAGGCAGGTCGATTTGCTCTGCAGGCTCGCATCCTTGACGTTGCACCTTCCGTAGATCCGTTCGATATAGTTGAAAGCGGTGGTCGAGAAGTACCAGATCAAGGTCGCCGTCGCCAGCCTGGAAACATGCCTCAGGACTTTCTCCCTTTTGCCGCAGCAATATACGAAACTGGTTATGCTCACGAACGGCAAACTGAGTAGCAAAGTCCACCCCCAGCCGATTTTAACGAAGTACGTGTTGAAGAAGTTGTCCTTGCTCACGGCCACCGACCTCGGAGCCGGGGCGAAATCCATGACGACAGAGACGACGAATATCATCCCGAGGTAGAAGACGACTCTGTAGAAAGTGTCGACGAACAGCACCCTTCTGCAGATGTGCTGCACGAGGAGTAGCATCACGTTCTTCACGCTGCTGGGTTGTGCCGTCGGCCTTGTACCTTTACCTTCTTTTTCGCTGTTCGGCCTGAAATTCATCTTCGGAGTCGAACCAGGCACTTTTCGCTTTGTCATCCCGAAAGAATTATAATTAACACATCCTACGAGCAGCAGCGAAAGTCTCTTTTGAAGGTTTCTCCACTGCCATTCCAGACAAACCTGCCTCTTACCTTTCTTACCTCAACAAATATTTTTAAGTTTAACTTTTTTAAAATATTCGAACAGATAAATTAAAAATAACGAATTTAAAAGGATAACACCAAAATTTGACATAAAAGTACAAAATATATTGAATAATTTTAACGAACAATGAGTAAAGGTTGTCACTTCATTGTCAGATAGAAAACACAATATAGAAAGACAAAAAAGACCAAATGTGATCAATACTGATATAAACTGACCTATCTCACTGTCCAAAAAAATAAAAAAAGCTCTAGACCCTACGATTTGCATAGTTCCGAATTTCTCCAACTGTAGCATTCCCAATGTTTTGACATAAAGTTGGTCTATGTTGTGGTTATAAGTACATTCTGAACGTTGTTTTTGGTATTTATTTATCGTGTTTATGAAAAGTCTTTGCTTCTGCTGAGTTCAAAAATTAATGGAGACCGTAAAATACAGGTACGTATTTAAAAAATAAATAGTTCTTGCAAAGGTTGACGATTTAACTTTAATAATTTGCGCTTCACTTACAGGCATGGACATAGTAGTAAAAAGGAGGTTGAAAAGAGGAGAGATAGTGACGGTTCAAAACGGCACAAATCCAAGAAAAAGAAAAAAGAATACAAGAAGAAAAAGAGCAAGACGTCAAGTTCTGACAGCGATTCATCAGAAAGTGTATCATCAGACGATTCCGTCAAGTTTTTAAAAAGGCTCCATGAAAAACAGAGACATATTATGGAAGAGAAACGTCGCCTTAAGGAAGAGATGAAAGCGAAGGAGACACCGGAGGAAAAGCGGATACGCAGGCTTATGAAAAAAGAAGCGAAGGAAAGGGCAAGGAAGCAGCGCATGGGCTGGGACAAAGACTACCTGCATTACACCAATGACGACAATCCTTTCGGTGACGCTAACCTCCTCTCGACATTCGTCTGGTCTAAGAAACTCGCCAAAGAAGGACTTACAGGTATGACCAACGACGATCTGGAACGCATCAACAGGCAGAAGCAAGAAGAGAACAAGCTCGAGTTGGAAAAGGTGAAAAAGAGGAGGCAGGAACGCGAACAGGAAAGGCAGGAGCGCGAGGAAGCCATGATGCGACAGCAACGTGAAAAAGAAGCGGCTCAGTTTGAATCTTGGGCTACTCAAGAGGACCAGTTTCATCTTGAACAAGCCAGGCTCAGGTCGAGAATAAGAATCGCCGATGGAAGAGGTAAGCTTTCTCAACTTATCATTTAAATCTCATCTCATCAAATTATTTTTTCAGCAAAACCAATTGATTTACTCGCCAAATACATAAACTCAGAAGAGGAAGTGGATACTGTCGAAATGCACGAACCGTATACGTATTTAAACGGACTGACGATCAAAGACCTTGAAGATCTCGTCGAAGATATCAAAGTTTACATCAAGCTCGAGCACGGCAAGAACCTCGATTATTGGAGCGATATTACAGTCATCGTCGAGGATGAACTTTACAAGCTTAGAAAGCTCGAAAAGAAATCGGACTATGAGGCCGCAGTGGGTCGTCGCGAAGGCATCCATGAGTCCGTCGCCGATGAAGTCACATCCGTCTTTAAAGGAAAAACGGCTGCTCAACTCGCAGCCATGCAAAAGCAAATCGAAAAGAAGATTAACGAGCGAGAAGGCATTGATATCGGCTACTGGGAATCACTTCTGTCACAGCTTAAAGGTATATTTATTAAAATAAAAATATAACAAATATTTCTTAAAAATACTTTTAATCGTTCGAATGTTTAAAAGCTCACATGGCAAGGGCAAGATTGAGAGACAAACATCAGGAAAATCTCAGGAAAAAATTGGAGCTTTTAAAAGCAGAACAGTTGGTCGTTGAGGGTGAGTCGAACGAAACGGAAATTAGGGCAGAACAGGATGAAAACGAAGAGCTCCAGACTGATGTCAAAGAAGAAGAGGAAGAAGCAGAAAGGTCGGTTTTTATATTAAAAATAAATAAATAAATAAATTAATGTTAATTATGTTGTATAGCGAAGAAGAGGAGAATCAAGGGGAAGCCATGCTCAGGGAGAGTTTCGCAGAGTATGATCGAGGCCAGTATAGCCCAAGTTACATAGACCCATCTGCCCTTGAGCCGGGTACGATCATAACGAGTGAAGAGGATGACAACCAGAGGCTGATTTTTGCACGTTTGCAACTCACTGGTGGCCTCAACGCACTGGTAATTTTTTATTTTTGTGTTAAAAAAAGTTTTCTTTTAGCCTTTTATCGCTGTATTGTTTTTTCTTAATAAAATTGTACTTTACAGCCTGAACGTGCCGAGGAAGAGCAGAGGATGCACAATGAAGCACGCAAAGGAATGACAAGCGACGAAGCAGTATTTTCCGTTGAGTCGGCATTAGATACGCAAGTCTATCTCTGGTCAGATAAATACCGGCCAAGAAAACCTCGTTATTTCAACAGGTAATAATTTGATCTTAACCGTTCGTCTTAAGACTATCCTCACTGAGTTAGTCTGCCATTTTGTGCGAGATTGAAGATGGCAAACCAAGGAAATTTCAAATTACACTGTTCATTAATTATTTATAAATTTTTAGAGTACACACCGGTTTCGAGTGGAACAAATACAACCAGACCCATTATGACATGGACAACCCGCCGCCGAAGATCGTCCAGGGGTATAAGTTCAACATTTTCTTTCCGGACCTCATCGACAAGAGTTCGACGCCCGAGTACTTCCTCGTAAGTATTGCCGTTATTGTTTCAATTAAAAGTTTATTGACTTTGGTTTTCATTTTCAGACCGTGTGCTCGGAGAATCCGGACTTTTCGATATTACGCTTCCACGCCGGCCCCCCGTATGAGGATATTGCTTTTAAAATTGTTAACCGGGAATGGGAGTACTCGTACAAACGCGGATTCAGGTGCCAGTTCCACAACAACATTTTTCAACTGTGGTTCCACTTCAAGCGCTACAGATATAGAAGATAAATAAATCAAGCATTCGTTGTACATTTATGTAAATATTTTTTTTGTCTTAAATAAAAAAATAATATTTTTATTCAATTTAAAAAAATTTCCACTCTCATAGTAACTTGGATCAATTTAATTAAGCTAAATAAAATTAAAAATTTTATGGGCACGACCAATTTAAGGAATTTTTTTGTTCAATCAGGCAAGACATCGTATCGATATATGCATATAAATAATAAAAAAAATTATACCGTGTGGTCTACAAATCATTAATTATTATTTCAAACCATTACTGACAATAATAATATATGCTTTATTATTTATAGAAAAATAAATCAACTTTTTACTTAGCAAAAAGAAAGAAATACTTGGAATTTCCATAACCTGTAAGTCCTACAAAATAATTTGTAAATATGCATTTTTGAAAAATATATATATGTCGTAGATCGAGGGCGGCAGAGAGACTCGGAGAGAAAAATGGTATGTTGATCATTTTTCAGATTGGTTTTTCTTACAAATCCGTCATTGGGACAATAAAAAACTTTACATTTCAACAAATTACTAAATGCTTAAAACCCCTGGGTTCCTAGAAATGTTAGGCTGGAGGGCAATGAACACGCAGAAGAGGGGGTGAAAGCTCGGATGTCTTGCCTTCCTTAGAGAAGCTCTGCAATTCTGACTGATGACGCTGTAAGAGCAAAAATCAATAAAAGAACGTTGGCAACAATGAGCTGATCATCTAAGTTCTGCCGAGAGAACAACTGAGCGGCACACAAGCAATCGTGCTCATCCATTTGAGGATAGGCCATGCTAGATTGACACACAGACACTTGCTTTTACTACTCGGTGTGTCACACTTGGTTGAAGAGTGCGACACCTTGGCTCCTTATAGGAAGTAAGTAGGCATGGTACCCAAAATAAAGACAGTCCAGGGTTTCCCTGTATAAATTAAGTTTTAAAAACAATGGTAAAAGTGAACTTTATGAAAAGGATAATGACAAGAAAACACTAAATGTGGTACAATTTATTTGCACTTTTCCATTTTTTTATTTTTTACAATAAATTCGAAGCCACAAATTGGCTTTTTAATTTATTATCAATAATTGTAAATATAAACCAAAAAGTTTGTACTGATAAAGAATATAGTTAAACACTAAATAGAAATAATAACAATAAATTCATTTAAAAAAAAAATTTTTTTGTTCAAAATACGATATAAATATGTATGAGAAAACACTTACAAAATCAACAAGGCTTTCAAGTCTTTTTATTGCTTAAAAAACTGCAAACTGACTTTTTTGTTTTTTATTTTATTTTTACATATATAAAAACCTGATCTTACACAGAATAAATTGAGCCTCCGATGGAAAAAGTTCACTGTCGAAGGTGGCGAGAGGGGCACTTGAATTGAGGTTGTTGAATGAGAAATTGTCGGACATTAGTCGAAATGCATGCCCGAATATATTATAATCCAGGTGACCTATAAAATAAACAAAAACAATCATTAGATTTAGTGGGATTCCTGTCCCAGTTGTAGGAAGTAATCAACTTTACCAGAAATCCAGCGAATGAGGTCATAAAGCCCTCCTTCGTAAGCTCCCAAGCGCCGCCGAACTCTTCCTCATCGACACACTGGAAACTCGTGAAATAAAGGTAGATGACGCCAGCGTTGACGATGGCAGATCTGAAAAATTGAAATATAATTGACAGGGATAGTCGCAGGATTGTGTAAAATTGTTTCAGAAGGCGCACAGTTTAATATTTTTTCAATTTTATTTTATATATATTTTCATCATTTAGCCAAGATGTGCCTATAACAGAACAAAAAATAAAGTGGCAATACTAGTTTCGAATCTCACTAGTGACCTTAATTTTTCTTCTCAACCATCTTTGAATAAAAAATTGGGAAGAATCAATCATGTTAGAGCAGAGGAAAAATTTGTTTAGTTCCTCCGTGAAAGAAATGCTGAAGAACAAACAGAACATATGAAAACAAAATAGTCTTTAGAAAAGTGTTTTTTTAATTTTTTATTTATCAAATAGTATAGATAATTATATACAAATTTGACAGATCTGTCAGATCAGTAGGCAGTGGGAAGAGAATCCTGGAAATCTCTTTTATTTGGTCAGGAGGAATTACAAGGGCATGGAGGATGGTGGGACGTTGAGGAAAAAGTTTGATCTAATGGGTTGATGGTGATGAGGATACTAGGAAGCGGGGTTTGTGCTCCCAAGGCACTGCAGCCTTCTGGCTTGTACATTCCTAGTTCCCTAGTTTAGTGTGAATTTCTCACATAGAAGGCATATGCCTCAAATTGTATAAAACATTAGGCTTTACTTCAAGAAACACGAAAAATTGTAAAAATATAAATTCACTTAAAACTTTATCTTCCTCTCATCTTAAGCAACATTTTCAAATCAGGTCACTTCATAAAATCCTCCATAGCACAATCCCAAATTATACCACTAGATCCTGCCAAACCTTCCACATTCCTTTCCGACAAGCCGATTTTCTCAAGTTCACTCAAATTAACAGAATATTGAAAGATAATAAGAATAAGATAAAAATAATTCACAAATATATTTTTTCAACTGCTCAATCTTCGATATTAAAAGACAACTTTCCGAGAAATTTTTCCAAAATTAATTGCCAGCAACTCTTTTCGTTTTTGTATTTTTTATTATTTTCTTTAGTATTTCCTCTTAAGCAATATTATTCTCCGTTATATTTTATATAATATATATATAACAGGTTAAACTTAGCATTATTGAAAACTAAATTAAATATAATATAGTAGGTAATAGAAATATGTAAAATTTAGAAAACGAAGTGTGTATATATATATATATATATATATATATAAAATCATTCTTCATTTTCTAAATTTTACATATTTCTATTACCTACTATATTATATTTAATTTAGTTTTCAATAATGCTAAGTTTAACCTGTTCTCCTTATCAATAATTTTGCAATTATAATTCGATTAATTTTTTCAATATTTTTAGTCTAATATGTTAATATTAAGAAAACTTATGTATAATTTAATTTCAATCTATATATATTTTTACTATTAATTATTAAATGGGTTCTGCCCATAAAATAAATAAATATGCAAAGAAAGTCAACAACTGCTAACGGTGTTACTGTCTGTACTCGATTTGTGCCGAAAGGAGTTGCGTTTCAGATAGTTTGGGAAATATTTTGTCAGATGGTGAACACAGAGTAGAAAAATGTTTCAATTTCTTAAGGATGGCTGGTCTCTCTAAAATTCAGAAGATGAGGAATGAATGGGGGTGGTATGGTGAGCCTGGTGTGGTCATGTCGGCCCTCTTGGCCAGCGGTTTCTGTTCATTGCCATCGTATATTTCTTCTGAAGACAGATTACGACCCTTAGTTGTTGCTTAGTATTAATAATAATAAAAGTTTTTAAAAAATTAATAGCATATGTTTATTGTTAATATTGTTTTGTTTTTAGTTTTGTAGTCTCTGTTGAGTAGTTTTTTTTTTTTTGCTAGAATAGTGATTTATTTAGAAAAAATAATAAAGAATGGACTGCCCGATTCATTGCAAACTTGACGGTATTCCAATAATGCCGACACCGAGGGATGTGAGTGCAATCGACCCGTACTGCTGCAACATGAGGAGGGATTCATGGTTCATCGAAAGCGACGACATATCGGCGACTGAGTCCGACTTTTTTCGTCCGCCCCTCGACCCTTGGAGGATGAAGTATTATCCGTGCGCTGAAAACTTCATGTACGGCCCCCAGCCAGCCGTCGAGTTCATGCCGACATATCCACCTCCTTTCCCGCCTCCCGTGTCGCGCCACCCGCCGAAATTCGCGAGCTCCTCTTCGTCCTCGTCGGGCAGTCTGGCAAAGGCCAAGCATTATTTCTGCCCGAGATGTTTTCGCTATGGTGTCCGAGAGCCGATCGACTTATCGACCAACTTGAATCCGTCGATGCGATTTCAAAATGTGACCACGGTTCAGAAGTCGGACGACATCATGGTACCTTCCAGAAACCGTCAAAATCAAAAAAACCTAAGAGCCTCCTACGATGGTGATCTTTGTTCAAACAATTATAGCTTTATACATGAAGTCAACTCTCCTTCTAATGACAGCTGTACAAAAGTAAACAACAAAGAACTAAAAAAAATTAACATGTCATCTTCATCACTGATTGTACATAAGAAGAACGCCAGACGAACAAAGTTAAGATACATTGACAGGTATAACAAACATTTATATTAATTTGAACATTTTTTTTTAATATTACATATGTACATATGGTTATTTCACAGTATTAAGAATGTCTGCTTCATGTAAATAAAATAAAGGCGGCGCAATAAGGTAATATAATTTAATTATTTTTTAACTAATCCTCTTAAATTTGACTTGAAATTTTCAGGGCTGGCCAGATGACGCATTTAAATACTATCGAGTTTTAAATGTAACATAGTTTACAAATAAATACTTATTTAAAACTAGACGATTTTTTTTGGCTTAATAATGCTTAGGTTTTTGTGAATGACTTACAGTAATAAAGCGATGAACCCTTTAAGAGGTATGAAACCCCAGATGATGCCGACTATAATCCCCAGTGCCTGCCTTCCCCAGTAGATCACATCTAAAAATTCATCCTGGAAAACAAAATTTTGTCAATAAGTAACAGCACAAAACCAACAAATTTTTAAAAGCATTTTGGATTGACTTAAAATTTCAAACATTCGTGGATTCTACGTTATCTTAAAAAACAAGTTCTTATTCAAATATTATTTTCCCTTTGAAACAATAAACTCGTAAAGTCGATAATAAAGATAAAAAGATATTTCTATTTCTGTACATATTGTTTTAAAAAAAATGCATGTTGTATGCATACAAAGTTTATTTTCCTTTTTTTAATTTTTTTTATAACATTACCACTTTTTGAATGACTTAAATATAAATAGGCCAATTCTATAATATAACTATAAATGGTTGACACTTATTTCTTAATGATGGCACAGTTAAATTTATTAGGATTACAGTTATGAATAAAAATCCACAAAATTGATTGTTTATAAAGAAATTAAGAAAAAAACAACCTTATGGTGTTTTAAGCAGTGAAGTTTATAGAACATTGGCATGATAAAGAATTTTTTTTCTAAACCTACATCACACCAGTCCCTCATCTCATGAGCTCTAAATAATCATTAATTAAAGGTCACTAGATCTACAGATAAATATACAGTTTGTAGTATACAGATATCTGCGACATTTCTTAATTTGCTTAGTATAAAACAGATCAGGGCAAGTTTTCTGTATAGTCAACATAGCTTATTATCTAGTATAAAACCTAGAAAGTTTACATTGTTTTCAATCTCATAACTGATGAAAAATTTTTTTTCCACATTTATAGCTAGGAAGTTAGCAATAATAATCATATACTTCATTTAATACTGTTGTCAATTTTTTTTATATTGTACTTACTAATTAAATCAAACCTGATTACTCGACATTTAAAAACGGTAAAAAGAGGGAAAATGCGAAAGATGGTAGGTTGAGATGGGAATTGGTGTCTGAGAGGATTGAAGTCATGATAGCTGAAGTGTTTAGAGCAACGGTTTATTGAGCCAAAGGTCATGGGCTCAAATCCTAGTGACACTAATCATTTCATTTCAACCAAGATCTTACACAAAAAGAATAATTAATTGAAATAATTAATATGGTCAATTCACTAGTTTTTGTGGTCCGCTTGACCAATTAATATTTTTTCAATTAATTAAGGTGTTTAGTTGAGATAAAAAAGTCAGTGTCACGAGCGGGATTCGAACCCATGATCTTCGGCTAGATGCGCTGCTGCTCTTACCATTTGGTAGAGGTCCCGACAGCTGAAGTGGTACAACAGCGGCATATATAGCCGAAGATCGTAGGTTCGAATCCTGCTCGTGACACTGACTTTTTTTATCTCAACTAAAAACCTTAATTAATTGAAATATATGGTCAATTATGACCACTAAGCAACTATAGACAAAATTAATCTACACTGATGATATCGCTCTCTACTCATCTTCTTGGAGGATAGACACGATATCAAACAGATTAGATAACGCAATGCGCTGCATAGAAAGTTTTTGCACGTTGGAAAATTAAAATTGATCATAAAAAAATGGAGGCAATAGTTCCAGCAAGCGTAGACCATTGCTTTATAAAAAAAATCAATTTGAAGGTATAAATGAGTCGTGGTCTGAGTCAGTCCAATATCCTGGGGTGATATTGGACCGTAAACTTATTTTCACTCCCCATGTCAGTGACAAAGTAAACAAGGGCAAAATGGCTATCCGTGTACTTTTCCCTCTGCTCTGCTCCCTGCCAATAAGCTTATTCTGTACAAGATGGTGGTCAGGCCCATGCTCCTGCCTAACTGCCTGCCTGTACCTCTCCTGGGACCTGACATGCAGGACTAATGTCGCCAGGCTGCAGAACAAATTTCTGAGACACAACGGACTCGGCCCGATATACACGCATATCTAAACTGCACAATGCGACAAACATGTTAATACTGGAATTCATCACATGCAACTATTAAATTTAATTTAAGCAATGCTAAGCTAGTACCAGTGTCATATGTTGGCAAATAGGCAACTATTGCTTGTACTACAGGTACATGCACAGGAGAATAAAGAACACTCTCTTATAAATTGGCCAAAATAGCTGTTTTTTTTTTGTTTTTTTTTTAATATAATATTTTTTCCCCTGTAATACGCAGAATGGATCCAAACAAAACAAAAGGAGAAATGAATAAACTCTAGCTGTGCTAGACATAGTAAACATATGATGAAACAACCATCACCAAGCCTGGCAAAAGCACTGCTGCAACTGGAGAGGGCCAAACTCAGAGGACTGGTAGGACTACTAACTGGTCACTGCCATCTGAGAAAACATCTACACAACATGGGTATATAGAACGATGATCCCATTTACAGATAATGTAATGAGGAGGAGGAAACAGCCACTCATATCATCTTCAAATGTGAAGCAACAGCTCAATGGAGGTTTAACCTAACGAATGGAAAACACTTAAGGAATCAAATTGCTGCAGCGACAGTCAATGACCTGATACGTCTAAGGAGAAGGATACAGTCTATTGCACTGAACTAAGGAACTAGGAAGGTACAATAAGCCTGAAGGCTACAGTGCCTGGGGAGTGCAAACCCCGCTTCCTATTATCCTTTTTCACCATACCATACCATTCCCAAGATTGGAAAAATAATGTAAATAATAAAATTTGTTGTTGTTATATTCTAACTAGCTGGAGGTATGCTAGACAGAAACTCCACTTTACCATTTTATGTAATGTATAATGTGTAAATTTAGAAATAAAATTCTGTTCTATTAAAAAAATAAAATTAATATCGTCAACAAGTTGGAAGGGTGCAATACTCATATCTGCACTACTTACAAAAGCTTTTTAGCCATTTAAGTATAACAGAAAAAATATAGGTCCTAAAATGGATCCCTGAGGTATACCATATTTGACTACGTCATGACTAGAATAAGTTACATCAATTATTACAGTCTGTTTACTGTTTGTTTTAAGAAATTACCCCTAATGCCAAAGCGGTGTAACTTTTCCAACAGAATTGTGTGGCTGACTGTGTCAAACGCCCTAGATTGGTCGCATAATAAATAATAATAATTAGCAATTTGCAATAATGATTGAATTTTATAAATTAGAAATTTAATAAAATAATTACTAGTGTATTTGCTGACGAAGTTTTTGATCATAATGCATATAAAATCAGGGCCGGGGATGAGTATTTTCCTTTTATTTATAGCAACTTAAATTCATTTAAAGAGAAAGGGAGATTGAGAGGGTTCGATGGGTCAACCTTAAAAGTAAAAGGTTTGCATCCCTTTACTATTTTAATTTCTTTCATTAAGTTAATAAAGTTTAAAAAGACGAAAAAAAATTTCTTGGGTTAAATTTGCAGTTAACTTTTGAATAAATAGGCCAATTCTATAATAAAACTATAAATGGTTGAAACTTATTTCTTAATAATGGCGCAGTTAAACGTAGTAGGGCTATAGTTATGAATAAAAATCCACAAAATTGATTGTTTTATAAGAAACTTAAGAAAAAAACTTTATGGAGTTTAAAATAGTTATGTTTATAGACATTAAAATTAAGAAAAAGTTATCGAGCATAAATATAAAATTGGACGTACCTTGTCCTCCCATTTCGAGTTGGACGTGATAGCCCTCGTCCAGACGGAAGCGGCCGTCCCAGGAGATGGCCTCCCGACGCCGTTTTTCTCGGTTTTGGGCGTTTTGTTCGCTGACATTGTCACGGGTTTGACTAAGAGACACGGCACGGCCACGAGCCAATCGGCCCTTCACCGAACGAATGCGTTTCCCCTCCAGAGTCGAGAAACCTCCGAAAAACACCGCCGACGCACGGCCGGGTTTCAGCGAGGCCGGATCGGCGGATGCAGCCTCGGTGATGACGTCACTGAATTACTCCAGCTTGTAAATTCACCGATTTTAATAATAATGTGTAGTGTTTAATGACCGTTAATTAATGATTATTTGGAAATCGTGAAATGCGGTCTGGTGTGACGTAGGTTTAGAAAAGCATTTTCTTTATCGTGCCAACGTTTCGATCTTTGTGTGGTGATTAGTGACCGTTAATCGATAATTATTCAGAAATCGTGACCGCATCTCACGATTTCTGAATAAGTTCGATCTTCATTGGGATCATCTTCAGGGCCTGGGATTTACAAACATTGTTTAAATATAACAAAAACATATAGGATGTGGAAAAAAGTGAATTTATACAATGCAAATAAATTCACTTTTTTCCACATCCTACATGTTTTTGTTAAATTTAAACAATGTTTGTAAATCCCAGACCCTGAAGATGATCTCAATAAAGATCGAAACGTTGGCACGATAAAGAAAATGTTTTTCTAAAATCTACGTAACACCAAACCGCATCTCAAGATCTCCGTATAATCATCGACTAACGGTCCCTAGACACCACACAAATGTTTATAAATCCCAGACCCTGAAGATGATNATCTCAATAAAGATCGAAACGTTGGCACGATAAAGAAAATGTTTTTCTGAAACCTACATCACACCAGACCGCATCTCAGATTTCTGAATAATTAAAGTGTTGTTCTTTATTGAGATCATCTTAAATGAAGGTTTTGTTTAAGATTTTTAAGATTTTTTTATTAAGACTTTTGTTAATTGGCAAATAAATTAAAAAAAAAATAAATCTTCAGGACCTGGGATGTATAAACATTGTTTAAATTATACAAATTCGTTAAGATGTGAAAATGAATGTATACAGTGATGTTTGCAATATAAAAATTTTAGGTTTAAATAACTAAGCGGTTGAGATGGGAAGTTAGTGCCCGAGGGGATCGAAATCACGATAGCTCAAGTGGTAGAGTAGCGGCGTATCAAGCCGAAGGTCGTGAGTTCGAATCCCGCTCGTGACACTGACTTTTTTATCTCAACTTAAAATCTTGATTAATTGTATGATATTAATTGGTCAAGCGGACCACGAAAAATAGTGAATTTAAACAAAGAATTTCACCTCACTCAAAGTGGGTATTTTCTGTGTAGGTGTATCACGGCTGTATGCATGTGTTGTTTTAGTGTTAGTGTTGTTTTTTGAACCTACACCATACAAGACCGCATCTCACCATCTCTAAATAATCCTTTATTGACGGCCGCTAAATTCTAATTCTAATGGACCATAATGCCCGTCCACACTTTCAACAGCATAACATCAGGGGCTTAGCCTGGCGAGTCCGTTCTCCAGACTTGATGAACCCCATCGAACATTAGATGGTCTGGGCAGGAATTCCAATGGAGAGTCGCACAGAGTTGGTTGTTGTTCGTGGATAGTCTTTAGCGGCCACTCGCTATGTGGATGAAATTTTGGAACATCACGCGTTGCCTATCCTCGACGAAATCAGCGTCAATCCTATTCTAATGCACGATAATGCCCGTCCACATGTCGCTGGCCATAGTACGAACGTACCTTGAACATCAGGGTCTTAGCCTGGCCAGACTTGCACCCCAACGACCATTTGTGGCATAACCTCAAAAGACGAATAAGAGCACGTTCATCTCTTCCTGATATACTCAACGATCTTGAAAGGTCTCTTCGTGAAGAATGGGCTAACTTCCAGCAGACATTTCCAGACTGGTAGAAAGTATGCCATGAAATGTGTAATTATTGTGTGTCGTGCTTAGAGTGCCAGGGAGACATTGATGTTTTATGTTTATATATATTGGATTTTGAAGGGGTGGGGAAAGAAGTTGGGATAGGAATTTATTTTTATATGAGGCTTCTTTGAGGTGAAAGGAGTTAAATTGCGGCAACTACATCGGAATTACATCCCAATATCTGGATAAGAAAGTCAAGCAACATATCTACGGTTGCAAAAAAACCCAAACAAAATCCAAGGGCACTGGCTACCAATCATTTTGAACATCAACACAATTTCGAATTCAACAATCCAAAAATATTACACACAAAACAAAACAAACATAAACGTAACTTTTTAGAAATGGTTTACATCAACAGAGATAAACACAGCATCAATTACTGAACGGACCCATTCAAACTCAGTCGTAGCTATTATCATTAATCAAATTCAATATCGATAACATACATACATCACACAAAACATACAATACAACTAAATTCACTAATTTCGTGGTCTACTTGACCAATTAATATATATTACAATCAATTAAGGTTTTTAGTTGAGATAAAAAAGTCAATGTCCCGAGCGGGATTCGAACCCACGATCTTCGGCTAGATACGCCGCTGCTCTACCACTTGAGCTATCGTGACCTCGATCCACTCGGACATTAATTTCCCATCCCAACCCCACCTTTTGAATTTTCCCTCCTTTTTGCCATTTTTCGAATCCCGCTCATTCTATTGACTTTTTTATCTCAACTAAAAACCTTAATTAATTGTAATACAATACAACATATAAAACAATCATTACATTCCACACATCAAACATTTCTACATAATCTAATTCTTCAACAATTTGTCTTTCCTTTCCCTAATTAACCCCGTCTATATAATCCTGAAAGGATAATCTGGCCGAACCATTACCCGTTTTTCCCATTGTCGGCTCCTTTCACCTCAAAGAAGCCGACTCAGCATCTAAAAACGAATTTCTATCCCTACTTCCTTCCCCACCCCTTCAAAATTCAACATATATAAACATAAAACATCAATATCTCATAAATCTCACTGGCATTCTTAACACGACACAATAATGTCACATCTACCCAGAAATACACTTTGAGTGAATACAAATACCTTAATTGAGTCTAAAATTTCTACCATTGTATAAATTCATTTTCACATCTTACATGAATTTGTATAATTTAAACAACGTTTATAAATCCCAGGCTCTGAAGATGATCTCAATAAAGATCGAAACGTTGGCACGATAAAGAAAATGTTTTTCTAAACCTACAACATCCAAGAAAAAAACTTATTTAATACTTTTTAGTATAGTTTCAAACATTAATTTTTTTTTTGGGGGGGTTTATACAGGGTACCTCAGGCTTCAAAATTTCAAATACGATCTTATAAATCCTGACACCATTTTAAAGGATTCGTTACGCTGAAAAGAATGGTGCAATCGGATTTTAAATTGAAAGAATAAACAGATTTGATTCGAACTGCCTACCTTGCGTAAAGATGCAAAGATTCAAAATTAATTGCTCTTTTTAACCACCCCTCACCGGTGCTCAGAGCGAGAGACAGAGGAGATGGATTGATAAGAATTTTCTGCCCTTTGCCGCAGTTCTTCAGCTGTGGTTGCTCGGTTATGATTGGCGTAGACACTGTTTTTTAAATGAGAGAGTGCCGGCTCTCGACACGACGGCACAATTACACAGAAGACAAACACTTTGAACCCTGAAGATGATCTCAATAAAGATCGAAACGTTGGCACGATAAAGAAAATGTTTTTCTGAAACCTACGTCACACCAGACCGCATTTCACGATTTCTAAATAAATACAAATATATAAATGCATAAAAAATATATTCAATAGGAAGAAAATCATATTTGCCAATTTTACCTGATTTTATATATATATATATATATATATAATTTATATTCCAATTCTTCTTTACTACTTGTGAACACGGTTTTGTGTATAGGTTAAACTGGGTACATTTTTTGTATAAATAAATAAATATGGTAAATCTAGAATGTTGGTTATATTTTTTAACTAAACACACCATTTATGTTTATGCCAAATATTTCTTACTGTTTCTGATTAAAATGAAATTATTTTTATTTATTATCATAAAATGTTGTAGCTCTGAACAGGGATCAGGGACGTGGTCCGAAGTTCATTAGAAATTAAAATATAGCATAAAAATAAATGGTGTTTTTAGTTGAAAAAATAACCAACATTTTTTATTTAAAATATTTTTACCAACAAATTAATTCAAAATGATTAAAAAGATAAAATTTGAAATAAATTTATCCTCAGCGATGACGTCACTGAATTACTCATCCTGGTATATTAACCTACCTTACAGCACAACGTAATTAGTAACAATTATTACTTTTTTTTTTTTTTTTTTGAATGAGCACCTTAACCACTTGGCCCTTTTGTTAAAAAATAAACGATTATGGTGTCTCAACGTCATTTCTCCCAATTAACTTATAATTTTTTATTTTCCATTCCAAGAAATTTTTTCATTACGTAAAGTTTCCGTTTCCCTCATTTCCTTGTAATAAAAAAATATATTAAACAGGAAAAAAATCAAATTTGTTAATTTTACTTGTTTTTTCGTCCTTTACATCCTTAAGTAACATCAATGTTAATCTATAATGACTGCCAATAATTATTGATATATCGGAAAAGAGTAATAAACTTCCTTTAAATTGTGACACTTTGTACTTTCCTTAAGTTAATTTAAACACTTTATTTTTATTTTTTTCAGGTGATGAAAAAAGCTAGATCTTGAACTGGATGGCGCTAGTGTCCAACGCTTATGGAATACATAGAAGCGTTGCTGGTTTAGCCTATTCCATTGATTTAAGGCAGTGTAAATTGGAATTATTATAAGTTAATTATTTATTATTCTATGGAGGGGCACAAGTAAGTTTTAATTTTTTTTGGGTGTGTTTAGTCGCAACGGTAATTAACATTATAGGATGTTAATCTATAAAGACAGCCAATAATTAATCATATAATAAAAAAGAGTAATAAACTTCCTTTAAATTGTGACACTTTTTACCTTTTCTTAAGTCGATTTAAACATTTAATTTTTATTTTTTTATTCTATTTTATTTTTTAATGGAGTGTCGGCGGCAGCAATGGTTTAGGCGTTGACACGGCATTCACCACGGTAAGATAAA